AATCAGCCTACTCTTTTAATATTTGTGGACTACTAATAGGTATGATTTTATGTCAAGCCACGAAGATAAATCTTAATAAATTTCAAAAGCAGAAATGATGCAGACCTACTCATTGACCAAAATGTTATTAATAGTAGATTAAGTAAAATACAATAGGACATTTTAAAAAAATCAATGATTTTTTGATCAAAAATTGAAGTGTAGCCATTAGTAACTGATAGTGAGTTTTGCTCAATAATAAACTCACAGTGTTATCTCCTTCCATTAGATGAAAAGAATGAAAATGAATGAATGGAACATTTAATTTAAGACTTTGGACAAGAAACAACAGAAAACAAAAGAAAGTAGGTAATAAAATATGAGCCAGATACAAACAGAAATCAGTAAGTTAGAATACATGTAGCACAAATAACAGCATTACAAAACAGGTCAATAGTTGGTTTTATAAATATTTATGAAGGCGTCTAAAGATGGGAAAGGTATAAACATAGGAAATTAAGAATGATAAAGGAGCTATTACAATGGATTCAAAGGTCAATAAAAGTAAAATAATATATAACTTTACAATCTTTGCAATTACATTTTTAAACCTTAAGAAAAATCATAGATACATATTAATCACAAAATTTGAAGAATTAGGAAATAAAAATATAGACATAAGCAGGAGATTAGTTTTAAAAGTCATTGTTAAATTACTAATACATTTTTCAGTCTTAGAAAAGATAAAAAAAAATGCCTTTATTTTATAAGATGTTCCAATAGGAGAACAATCTTTCAAATTCTTTCCAGGAGTTGTAAAAACCTTTCAAATTCTTTCAGGGAGATAGATACAAATATCACACTCTGCGAATACCAGCACAAAAGAAAAGTGCAGGCAAAGATTATATAGCATAGATTCAGAAGACTCTAAAAGAAACACTAGCAATGGACTGCAATACACTCAGAGAATAAAGATTGCATATAAGTGAATATAGTAATATAACATATTACAAAGTCAAAAGAAAACCTTTATTGCAGGAGATGCCTAAAACCATTTAGTATAGGACATTTGTAGAATTGGAGCTTATAAGGGGTGCTCTTGTATGACTTCTTAGTTTAGAGATGGACACAGTGATTATGATGCCTGGAGCACCAGTGGTTGAGCAAGTGACTCTGAGGCATGTGGAGAACAAGCTTGGTCACACTGTGACTCAGCAGGCACCTGGAAGTTACAGGAGTGAAGTGCCCCTGCAGG